GGGAAGATGGAGGCATCAGCTACAAGTTTACCCAATCACAAGGTGTGGCCTTCTTAAGCTGCTTCCGTGGTAAAGAGCTGAGAACTGCAAATGGTCTTGTGTAAAGTTGCAACTGTAATGCATTACACCTGCTCACCGTTTACTACCCACAGGTGGTCTAACATCACTGCCAATAACTCAATGTTTAAGTAGTTCATCTGAGAAAATTAGCTATGTATCAAGAATACTGTTTATTACACGAGATATAAACAAACAAAGATCTGGAGTCTTCATTTATTTATTTATTTGAAAAGGGCATACTAAGCAACAAATATGAAGAGGGTCACACAATGTAAAGGGCAAACAATATGCACCCTGTACTCAAGGCATAGCAAGGTCTATTGAGGTATTCACCAAAGGACCTAGGACTAAGCATTCCTAGAAGAGGGAGTGAATGTTGAGGAGTTGAAACTGAGGAACAGTCCCTGAATATTTATTTGTGTAAGCAACCCTTCCTCATCCTTTTCTACCAAGATGCCCTAAAGCATGCCTCTGGCCCTTTTCTCCTCCTCACGCCTACTTCTCTCTGGACTTCTAGTTCCCTACTTTTTTCTGAGAGGCTTCTGCTACTCTGTCTTCCAGTTTTTATGCTCTGTGATCATGTCCTTCCTGGAGTCCCAGAACTTTTGTATCTAAATCATGGTCATTTCTCATTGCCTTAAGGCACAGACAGCTATAACAGCTCTCTTCAATATTTTAGGGGGTGTGGCTCAGGACTCGTGACTAAAACTTACTAAAATCTCCTTCTCCAACATTGTTCTGTATCCCAGTTTCTTTTCTATTGATGTAATAAAATACGCAGACAAAAGATCAAACTAAGGGACAGTGGGTTTATTTTAATTAATAATCCCTGGGTAGCTAAAATAATTCCAGTCTATCATTGCCAGGATGTCAAGGAATCAGACGCTTGAGGTAGCTAGTTGCATCACACCACAGTCAAGAACTGAGAAAAAAAAATGAATGCATATGTAACTACAACTTATACACACACACACACACACACACACGCACGCACACACACACACGCACACACACACACAGAGAGAGAGAGAGAGAGAGAGAGAGAGAGAGAGAGAGACGTGCACACACGCAGTCCATGCCCTCAAAAGCAGGAAATGATCTCTTTCACTTTAAGGCTGAGTCTTCATACATAAATTAACACAGTCAAGATAGGCTAACTCAGTCTGGACAATTCTTTATTGAGAATCTCTTTGTAGATATGTCAATACGTCAATTAAGACTAGTCCTCACATGTGAAACTGGATTTTGTTCCTAGGAGACTGAGCTTTTGAAGAAGTGAGACTGAAGAGACTCTCACAGTGGCTCCTAATCCCACTTGACAGTTGTTCTTATAAATGGATTATAACAGAGAAATTAAGACGCAAGGAGAGAGATTGTAACACTCATGGATGGGCAGTAGAAAACCCACCTACAAGTCAAAGACAGAAGGTCTCAAAGAAGGCCAACCATGAGATACCCAGATTGTGCATAATTATTCTCTCTAGAATAGGAAAAAAGATAAAATAAAATTTTATGCTGTGTAGGCCAGTCTATGACATTGGTGTCATATCTGTTTCTAGTTTATAGGTTCTCCTATATCCTGTAGCAATTCACTAACTTCATAATCAAATGCCAAAATGTGTTTAGTTTTTCAATCTACCACTAAGAATCTTGATTAATAGTACAAACAAAAGAATCTTGTATATTCTTAATTATGTCATATACAGTTATCTCCCCTATTTTTTCCAAGAACTGATAACACACATACACACGAATCATTATATGTTAAAAGTATAATTCATAAATGCTCTGCTTTTTGAACTCATATTAATTCCATGAGGCATGAGGCATCATTTTTATGACTAACTGCATTCCAAATTCAACAGATTTTATTTCCCTAAAATAAACACACCATTCCCACTTCTATTATTATGTAAATTATGTATTATTCATGCTTATTCTACTAGGTTTCATGGGGTGCAATGCTTTTGTTTCCCAGAGTTTGAGACTCAAACAAGTGTTAATTAAAAACATGTTTTTGTAGAGTCTGTCAGGCAGAGTAGGAGCAATAGAAAGCATCTGTATGCACAGAGTAAGGGAAGTAATGGGGAAAATAATAGCCAAGAACAGGACCTTCTCAGTTGTAAGATATCCATGTTGTTGATTATGATATATGACTCTTTAGAGATTAATACACAAGAATGGGATGATTTCCAAATTGGAAAGGAGGTACAGGTTTAGTATTTTGAGAAAATGGCACAGAAAGTTAATAGTCAGACACTTTGGAAAGGTCAATGCAAAGAACCTAGAAAGCAATAAAGCCATTGGTATGGTGGATCAATAACCCTACTTACTGAAATGCTAGAAAATTACAGGATTTGTCCAACATGGGAGCCACCAAAGGCTTTAGAAATGCATTTTCACCAGAGTGTGAGAAAAACCAAATTATAGAGCTTAAGAGGATTTGGGAACTGGTGGTAAGAAACACACACTGGCCCAGAAAGATCCTGCTAAGAATGGTCAGGCTATCATGTGATACTTGAATCTTGGATGACTCTGACCCAAGTAAGAATACGATTAAAGTTTTGTTCTATTTCAATTTATACTACAATAAAAAATATGTTTTTAATCAGACTAAGATGTGATTATTCAAATATATCCGGTTTTCTAATCTCAGAACCACAAAGAAACCATCACATTCGTGATCATTTTTAATTGCATCATACAGATAGAACATTGAGTCAGACTTTTCAATTCCCTGACCCAACAGAGTAGAGAGAATTCCTGAAATACTGGCAACAGGCTGGCTCTTCTTCAGAATTGTGGAAATGGCATGTGTGAGCAGATACAATATGTTTTGAGTACATCAGGTGGTCTTATGTTTATCAGAACACAATTTTCTACTCTGTCTCTTTTTATTTTTGCTTTCCCCTGCATGTATGCTGACAGTAAGAGCTGGTTACTGCACTGTTTAAAAAAAATGAAGTATTCAAGATATGAGCTTGGAGTAGAAAAAACTAAAGGCTATATACATGAAATTGATTCCTAGGAAAATATTAACAAACAAAAAAAACCCTATGTGTTTTCAGATTTTAAAACTCTGGGGTATTGGGGATAGAAGAATATACTAGATCCCTCAGCCTCCATATCCCTGGAGCATGACCCCAGAAGGGGATACTGAGGCACACATTCAGCTTTGATACTTTCTGCAAAGCATTGTCAAACACCTGCAGAACTCAGGGACCTGCAGCATTTCTGGTACTACCAGGCCACCACGTTGGTCCCTTCCTAAAATCGATTCACTCACGTCTAGGAGTGAGCTAGGCAGGCTGCAGAGGCTGATCTAGACAGCTACCTTGAAACCTTTAAGCTTTAGCCTTGTCATTGGCCAGCAGAGAAAGGTGTGATGTTTCACTGTCTTTTAGCGCCTTAACTGGACAATAACTGACAGTGGCCACACAATTTTATAGTTGAGATTGCCCATGACTGTTGAAAAAAAGAGCAAGAGCTCTAATGAGCTTAGGAATGAAATCCATTGAAAGCATTATGGTTTAAACATGGGTGGCTTCATCTGATTACACAAATTAGCTTGCTAAAGTGCATGTTTTGTGAATGTTGAGCGTGAGAAATGATTTGTCTGCTGAATATCACTGTTAAATATGAATAAGAATAGAATGTTTTATGAAATAAATATGGGCACACTGATTTGTTACTGAGAGCTCAATTAAAATGTGTTCCCTCAGTATACTTGAATGCCTCTTAAATTGTATTTTTTAAATTCCAGGCAGCTGTTTACTTATTACTACTTTTTAAAATTCATTTTTTAGACTGGATATTTAAATTTTTCACTAAAGGAAAAAGTGTGAACATTTAATTTAGATGTACTTGACATAAACAGAGTGCTAATTAGTGGGACCACTCCAGGATAAATCTTCTGATGCTATGAATAAACATTATGACTTGTTCTTCAATCCCACAAGATATTCACCGCTGCAAATACCAAGGACCAAAGGTAACTTAATCTCTGAACAACCTGAACACATTTAGAATGTATCAAACTAACTCATTTATCTTGGGGCATGTCAATTGAGTTAGGCAGAGTACAAAGGAATTTCACACTTGTGTTGATGCTGAAACTAACTAGGTAACAGGTGAAGTAAGAAGAGGCTGAGACGAGGTTTATTTTCATCTATGTGAAATAAACATCAATAAAAACAACAGGAAGTTAAAGAAATCAACATATTCTTAGGTAGTAAAATTCCAATATTACTATATTCTTACATATGGGAATTTGCCCATATGTGCATTTTATATAAATATACCATTCATATTTATATCTCACATGAATATTCTAATTTTCATTGTATAGTATTTAAAACTAGTCACTCTTCTATTGAGACACCAGCCCAAGCATATTTTGGTCACTACAGTCCTAATATAATGAATCTTATGAAAGATACTTAAGGTGACTTATTCATTTTAAATAAAATGGTTTGCTATCATGGAATGACTTAAGAAGTCAATTACCAAGTCTTTGACATTTTCTCTTCCCAAACAAAATCACAAGGAATCTAATAAAGCAATGTACAGTGGTGGCACCAACCCTCAAACCACTTATGGCATTTCTTATTGTCCGATACAGATTTTTGACTTAAGAAGAATGGGCTGTGTATCATATTGCTGGCTTTATTAAAGACTACATTCAAAGGCATTACTAGGATTTAATGTTTTTCAAAGCAAGTTAGTACTCCCTTAGTAAGTATTCAAATGGAGGTTTTATGTTGGATTTTCTACACACTGCAATCTTTACAGAGCATCAAACATATCTACCCTCACTTTTGTAAGTTCATCCACTTAAGTTTCTACAAAGAACTTCTAGCCTTTGAAAATACCTACAAATCAATATTCATTACCAGGAAGATGCCTTGTCTAACTCTAGAGATCAGTAAAGGCAGACTTACCATCATCGTACTGGCCCCAGCTGACTGTCAAGAGCGAAGCAATGATGATCCCATGGGATAAACACTTCCATAGAGCCCACTGTGGGAACATCTTCTGTCAAATTTCACTCAAGACTGATCTGAAATAACATGAAGCAGGAAAACACATTGGACATGTTCATTATCAGCTATAGGAAAACAAAACTGTCAGGGCACAGAGGAAAAACTTTAAATACTTCATAGTTAATTAATTATGTCACACCATCCATTATCAAGTAACATTCGTGGCTAACACACTGGAACCCTTCGCAAACATGAATTTGTACAGAAGTTCATTAGCAGAACTTAGATTGGCAAGCAAGATGGTTGGGAAGTCAGTACATGAACAACATTAAAAGCATGCTGACTTGAAACCCGAGACACGGGGAGGGGCTAAATGGAATTTTAATCAGCCTAACTTAGGCTGTTAATGACGTGTCATTCAACAATCAAGTATACATTTCTGTGGGATGGATTATTGATGGTTCATTGTTCACATAAGTTTTAATGAAAATGAACCATAAGGAATTAAATAGGAAAAACCATAATGAAAGGATAATTACTTATGGTATAGTAACTGGAGATTGTATTAACTGTCCCAAAACAGAAAAAGCCAGCAATTTTTATTGCATTGCCTTCCTAAGCATTTAGATGCATTTTAATTCCTATGCTTTACTTTCCAATGCCCCAGCAAGTTTTAAAGAAAAAGAATGGTGTATTGAGAGATCATTAGTTAATTAATACATTGAAAATATTTCTAAAAGACGATGTCCCGAATTTCCTTATGAACTGAGAAATTTATCTACACCAAATTACACAAAATAAAACATTATAAATTGTGGCCAAGTGGAAATCTGAATTCAGCTTCTTGGATTCACAGTGTTTCAGACCCAAATGTTGCCAAAGACAAGAAAGAGAAGGACTCAGTGAGTCAAGTCATTGGGAAAAGATATCCGAGGAGGCTGTGCTTATCTAGAGGCACAGGGCAGGCTTGTCTAAGGAGATCAACTGGTACTCAGCGTCTCAGGGAGGCTGTCATGTAAGGATGTAGGCTAGGTCCAAAATCTCATGTGATGGCCCAGAGTTGGGATGGCCTTTTAGTCGCCTTTATGGTGTTGAAGGCTCCCCAGAGATCACATGAGGTCCTGCAATGCTCACCATGTCTAGGATTCTCTCCAGCAGATCAGCTTAGATAAGTCTAAGCAGAGGGCACACGGTTTTATGCTACGTGATAGTGTCACTATCTCATTTACACGAATCTTATAGTATTGATTTTTACCATACTGTATCACATGGAGCTTATTGAAATATGTTAAAGAGACATCAAAGTGTTCTGAAAGTATATGGCATGCTACACTGGGTCAGAGACATTCTCTTTTCCTTTCTGTTTTCTAGAAAGGGAACAGGAACTTCCTTTGTCCTGGACCATTTATATATAATTCTCGGCTGTGCTGTAGAGAAATGAGATAAAAGAGTATGAATTTTATTTTAATCCGAGTTCATCATCCAGTTCCATGACTTTGCAGAAACCAAATAGACGCTGTGGCTCTCACCAAAATTAAGTGGACATAACACACTTCCTATCAAAGTGTTTTAAACACCTAACCATTAGGCAAACACAAATGCATGCTCAAGACAGTGGCTCGCTTAGCATGAGAACCAATATGTCAGCTATGAACCTCTGCCACTCAACATCTGGACTCCTGTGTCCAGGTGTGGCTCAAATGTTTGTTCCATATATCATCAGAAATGCCTTATTACTGTCTTTCTCACTCCCTGAAACGAGGGGTCGGGGGTGGGGGGCTCAGTACAAATCTTTGCTACAAACCTCTACTTGCAGGATGGTACAGGAATTAGAAGTCCATGGAGTTTGAACTGGAATCTATTCAGGGTCATTCCATCACAGAGAAGTTTAGGGTAACATCCCAGGGGGCAGGGAGGTGGGGAATTCCTTTTACGCTGCCACACTCTGGAGCCCTTTCACCCCTTTATTGGTGTTCTGTAATTTTCTTTTGATGTTGGAAGGCAATGGTGCTAACCCTTCTTTTCCAAACATAGCATTACAAAGAAAACAAAAATGATGTTAACAATGAAAAATAGAAGCTTAAAACAGGGCTGGGGTTGACCTCACCAGCTGAGCACTTCCACAGCATGGCCAATGCCCTGGGTTCCATCTCCAGGAGTGAAAAGAGTTAAGGGAATACCCAAAACCTCCAAACTAATGGATGAGTGAGAAGATGCTACAATGGTATCCATAAGAAACAATGAAAGCAAAGGGAGCATCTTAGCCCAGGCCAGAAAGAAACAGCTGCCTTCCTTTGTCGGCCCCTGCTTTGCCCACATGCTGTCTCTACTCCCTGGTGAACGTTGAGTTTGTTGCTCTTCAGGCTGATGTTATATTGTTTTATGTCTGACTCAAATCAATTTAGTCTCACTTAAAAGCTTTCAAGATGAACACGACCTTACAGGTCACTACTTTAAAATCTTCCCAGCCGCTGATCCCATTGTGGATCCAGAAATAGCCCCCTTTGATATGAGACTCTGTACAGGGTTGCTTGGTGCAGGGTTTTGTACACTTCAGAACACATCACACTAAATCGTGCATATTCATCAGAGAAGAAAGACTAATGTCCAGCTGGAAGCAAAGGGGCTCAGGAGAACACTTGGCTGTTTCTGAATCAAGAAAATGCAACACAACTGTGTTTTTTATCACTTCCTTCCTTGCTTTCTAATTGCTTTATCTCCAATCTACCTGTAAAAACACCAGTGTGTTGCATTGAGCAACCTGCAAGAAGGCTCCAATCCACCTTACAAACCTGACACCCTACAGATGGAGAAAAGCTGGCTCTACACGGCAACATGGCAAGAACGCAGCTTTGAAGGAATCTGTGCTTCAGGAACTAGAGAGCACCGTGTATACTTAGTGCCACGTTGTGCCAACCAGAGGAATTGTGCCAAGCAGTGAAATTTACCATGACACCCGCTGAAACAAATCAGATGTTTTAGGTTGAGACTACTTCTTTAGTAGCTCTGAGGTCTTTGGGATTACAGACAATAACTTTCTAGACGTGAAAACCCAGTACATCGCTAAATGAGTAGAAAGGATCTTCAACATCATCTCCAAGGCAGCTCTGTGTCTCTAACAAACTCATGCTGGTCCTCTATACACAACCCTTTCCCAGCATGCCACTCTTCAGATATCGCTATGCCTGAGAAGTCTAAAGTGTGCCCAGAGTTTAAAAGGCATACAGTGGGCTTTGAAGAACTTCAATCCGTTCTCTATTAAGGAGGTAATTTAATTAGTGTGTTCAACCCTCTGGTGTTGTTCGACTTACTTTAGCCATAACATTCAAACCCTGTCAAAATACCGGGGATAGAAGCTTTTACAATTAGGTTTCAATCTTACAGAGGAGAGGCAGAAGCTTCCTGCTTGGTGTTTGGTCTTTTCCTGGGGGCTAAAATACCTCACTATAATTATTCTCTAGAGTATAAGTCTGTTTTTGAATTTTATATTAATTGTGTTCTCTACAGAATAATAGTAATAATAAAGTATTCTCATTATTCTACCATTCATAGTCTCAGAATTCATTCTCCCAGAGAGAACTTACAGAGGGACACTGGCTACCTCTTGCTCTTCTAGCAGGTAGAAACCATCAGAGCTGATAATGCAATCATTTTCTGGATTAAAACATAGGGATAGTACCTATTAATCAAATGAATATAAAACTCCATAGACATTATTATTATAAATGATGTTTATAAGGTCACAAGTGACACGAAATGAAAGAACAAGCATTGTCAGAAAAATTACATTATCACATTACACTTCTGCCCATTAACATGTGAAATCAGGCTGCACACAGCATCGACAAATGAAGAGAACCTTGTTCAAAATCTCAATTTCCTAAGAGCCTATTTGCGAGCCCTCTGCAGCATGTCTACAGTTCAAGTGCAGTCTGTTCATGTCTTTGAGCAAGGAAAAACATCTAGTTTTTTACTGTTTGAGTGCAAATCAAAGACGCACCCTTCAGCATTTAAACCCATGCTCTCATCAAGGGTAAGGGCCATAGGAAGGGCAACAGGAGCAAAGCTAAATACCAGGCTTGGTCTAGAGATAACATTTTTGAAAATGTTAACTTTTCTTTAAGCCGTCGCTCCTCATCACTATGAAAGGGACTGTTGATTTTCTTGAGACCAAATCTGGAGCACACTGTCACTAAGGTGGTAGGCCACCCCACATCCATTCTCAAGAGGAAGCAAGGGAGCACCACAACGTCAAGGGAGTCTGATTTTCTACAGTTAGCCTGTCAAATACCCAGCACGTCTGATCTCTGACACAGTCTAGAAAGAGCAATGTAATGTTATGTTACTGTTATGGGTTCCTGGTGAGAAATGTCTGTGACCCACATGCTAGAGGAAAGTGAACCTCCTCTCCATGCAACCTCAACTACCAAAATGAGAACAAGGAGCATTCCAGAAATATTCTCATAATTCCATGTATTAATATATGTTTTATCATAATCAAGTATATTATAACTATATTATATAATTCTATACAAAATACATGTAAATGAATATATTTTATTTATAGTCATATTATAGATGCTGATATTATCTCAGTTTTTTTTCATACATTTAACTAAAATCCAAGAGGAGAAGCTGCCATGTCAGCTAATGTGGCATAAGAACGGTCTAGTTTTGCACTGGATACAATGTTGACCAATACCTAGTGTTCATATGCTGGAGATTCCTCAATGAATGTGGAGGTAGTAAGTGGGGCCCATAGAAAGGAGTCTAGGGGGAGGACTAATTTCACCAGAACGTGCCTTCAGAATACAGGGGCTGTCTAGAAAATGAATCACTATTCCAGGATAGATTGCAACTGATAGTTTCATTTGGTGATGTTTATACAACCTAAGAAACACAGATAAACTAAAGATAAACACTGAGTCTTCTCTTAGGTCTAGTCAACAAAAATAGAAACATGATTGCATTTTGAGACTGAAAATACAGCAGGGTCCTGTTTACCACATTTGTGGTAAAATTGGTTTACCACAAATTTACAAGCTCAAAAGTCCCACGTTTTGTATTGATGTTGCAG